AGTGGTGGGACAAATGCCCAGATTTCTGGGCTGGGAAGGTGGCTCAGTGGTAGAGCACTTGCCTTGCATGCCTGAGGCTCTGGGTTCGATTCCTCAGTACCACATAAGCAAAAAGAAAAAAGCCGGAAGTGGCGCTGTGGCTCAAGTGGTAGAGCGCTAGCCTTGAGCTGAAGAGCTGAGGGACAGTGCCCAGGCCCAGAGTTCAGGCCCCATGACTGGACCCCCCCAAAAAAATGCCCAGATTTCCTCTGCTCTAACCACGGAAGCAGATAATTTCAGAGGCCAGAGAAATATAAAGGTATGGACCAAAGGGGGCTAGGAATGTGGCTTAGTGGTAGAGAGCTTGCCTAGCATGCATGAAGCCCTGGGTTCGATTCAGTACCACATAAACAGAGAAAAAGCCAGAAGTGGTGCTATGGTTCAAGTGGTAGAGTGCTAGCCTTCATCAAAAATAATCTCAGGAACAGTGCTCAGGCCCTGTGAGTTCAAGCCCCAGGACTGGCATAAGGAAGGAAGGAAAGAAAGAAGGAAGAAAGGAAGGAAGGAAGGAAAAAAAAGACAGAAGAAAAGGAAAATTTAAAAAAAGAAAAGAGCCCAATTTAATTTATTATTTAAATCTTCCTCAGCTCAAACTTGCCATCTCATCAAATGGTTGTATAAACTGCTTTAACTTCTCTAAGGAGAAGCTTACTCCTTTGTCAATCACTGATGCTTTTTTGTTTGTTTGTTTTTGCTTTTTTTTTCCTTCCTTTCGGTGCCATCACTGGGGTTTAAACTCAGGACATCACACTTTCACTTGGTCTTTTCTGCTCAAGGCTGGCATTTTGCTCCTGAGCCTTACCTCCACTTCCATTTTTGCTGGTTAATTGGAGATAAGAATCTCAAGGGGGTCTGGGAATGTAACTTAGTGGTAGAGTGCTTGCCTAACCTGAAGTCCTGGGTTTGACTCCTTAGTACCACATACACAGAAAAAGCAGGAAGTGGAGCTGTGCCTCACATAGTAGAGTGCTAGCCTTGAGCAAAAGAAATTCAGGGACAATGCCCAGGATCTGAGTTCAAGCCCCAGGAATAGTTAAAAAAAAAATCTCAGGGATCTTTCTTTCTTTCTTTTTTTTTTTTCAGGTAAGGAGTAGGTTTATTCAGTAGACCTGCTGGGACCAGGCCAGGTTGGCACTCCACGCAACTGGGAAAGGCCTGAGAAAGAGAGAGAGCTGGGAAAAGGAGCTAAGAGCTGGAAAAGAGCTGAGAAGGAAAGAGCAGAGAGAGGGCGTCTGAGCCTGGGCTAGGCCTTATCTAGGGTATGAGCGGAGAAAGGTGTGGCCACATCAAATTCAGATGTGACCTCAGCGGATGCAGATGTGACCTCTTCCAGGTGTGCCAGTTGCCTAGGTAATACAGGTACTGGGTGGAGACTTTGCTGCGAGGAGGGTGGAGTCTTCTTGCCATCCAGGAGCAAACCTTACCTTCCAGCCTTTTAATAATCATGAAATAGGGCGCAGATTCTCTCTGGCTACTTCCTGCTGACAAGGGGTGTTGACATTAGGGGTAAAAGGCTGGAATTTGGTCCCCTTCTCAGGGATCTTTCTACCTAGGTCTCTTTGAACAGTGAACCTCAGAGGTAGGTAGCTGCGGCTACCTCAGTAACTAGCATTATAGATATGAGTCGCCAGTGCCAGGCTTACTAATGCTGCCTTCCCTTCTCCCCGTCTTTACTGTTGTCTCTACACTTTTTTTTTTTTTGTCGGTCGTGGGGCTTGAACTTTGGGCCTGGGCGCTGTCCCTCAGCTCTTCAGCTCAAGGCGAGCGCTCTACCACTTGAGCTACAGCGCCACTTCCGGTTTTCTG